TAAGGTTTCTCTCTACGGACATGGAGCGGATACAGGTGTACGAGATGGCGCTGGGGTGCAGCGTTGCGATAGGCAGAGTGGAACGACTTTGCAATCAATCTCAGCTATCGGACTTGGGATGTGTGCGGCTGGTCCCCGGATCGATCCCAGCCACCTGACGTAAACGTGTACTAGTATGTAAACGGTTTAACTACTACGAGCTGTAAAGCGGATCAAGTGGCGACGTGCACCCCGACATTGAAACGCTTTGTTGTATGACCACACCGCTCGTAAGTTTTTGACGCATCGCAGCCAATGAATTCGATTCGTGTACTTGCTATCAGTCGTGTGGTCGTTGCTTGGATGAACTTTCTATCAGGTTGGCAGCAAATGCAATCAGCTTTGTGGATACGTGTGGGTCGGCGCAGAGTGCAACTCGACGGCGTGTTCATCGCCACGTGCCGCCTTGCATTAAAGTCTGGCTACGGAGACGATTTATTTGGATTTAACTTCTGAAAGTGCGCGCGATGCATTCTAGTGTGTGCCTGTATGCCAGGCGGTGATCAACGCACGACGCAGGTTCGTTCACGCCTATCCTCGAGAGCCCATTAGAGTGCAGATAGCGACAGCAAGAACAATACGTTCTGGCAACTCGAGAACGCAATTCAATGATTCTCAGCCTACTACCACGTACAGTATTTGAAATAGATCAGATTCGTTGTGTGTGTCGCGTGTGCCGTATGTATGAGAGCCGGTGTTTCTATCATTTTGCGTGTGGACGGTTGAATGAGTCTCGGGTTACACTAGACGTACAGGGCGGGTAGTTGCCAGTAGGAACCGACACGATCGTTTTCCTAACCTATATGACCGTGAAAAGCCCGTAACTATTGTCGTAAGGATGGCACGGGCAAAGACGATAGATAGATGACGATCGTGCTTGACGTCTCTGGTCACCACGCACCTTTTTGTGATAGGTTGCTGGAACAACGGCGTTGACGCCATGGCGCAAGTCGGAACCCGGAGCCTGCACCAGATGGGATGGGACTGCAAGGCTGAACGTTGCGCGTCCTCGCGGTAGCCAAAATCAGCCGACAGGCATCGAATCTGGTCAGTTGGCCACTTTGGCATTTGCACCGACACCGCCATGAAGGCTGCATCTACCAGCTTGTTTGCGCTGAGTTTACTCGCGACGGTCGTGAACGCCAAAGCGCCGGCCTGCGTCAACCTTGAGCAGAACGTCGACTACTACGGTAACGACATTGCGAGCGTCGTCGAGTCCAACTACCAAAAGTGCTGCACGTGGTGCCACATCGTCGATGGTTGCACGGTGTACGTTTGGAATAGCTACAATGGTGGCACGTGCTGGTTGAAGTCGAAGAAGGGTCCGTCATCCACACAATCGGGGGCCTATGCCGGCTCGATTCCCAGCACACCCGCTTCGACACCAACGCTTCCGCCGACCTCTGCTCCCACGCCAACACCGACTCCAACACCGACGGAGACACCGACGCCAAGCCCGGCGGCCACACCGACACCGACACCTACACCGACGCCAACACCGACGCCGAGCCCGACGCCGACGCCGGCGCCAACGGCGATTCAGTTGTGCACGTTGAAGAAGACGATCCTCTCCGAGTGGAACGGCAACTTGTACGTCGACACGATCAAGGGCAACAACAACGAGAAGTTCCTGCTCTTGGAGACCGCTGGCATTCAATCAGTGAGCAGCGGCTCGGGCTGCCTCACGACCAGCAGTGCGTCTAATAGCATTTCGGTCACCAAGTGCTCCGGTGCACCGTCGCAGGCGTGGAAGTTCGACCCGGTCGCCAAGCGAGTCACCAACGGCAAGCTCTGTCTCGTTTCGGCGCCGTCGTCACCTGGCGCATCACCCACTGTCGCGGCCTGTTCGTCGTCTGCCGACTCGCAGTACTTCGATAGTTGCGCCACCGTTCCGAGCCCGACGACCACACCGACACCGACACCTACACCGACGCCGACACCTACACCGACGCCGGCGCCAACGGCGATTCAGTTGTGCACGTTGAAGAAGACGATCCTCTCCGAGTGGAACGGCAACTTGTACGTAGACACGATCAAGAACAGCAACAATGAGAAGTTCCTGCTCTTGGCGACCACTGGCATCCAATCAGTGAGCAGCGGCTCAGGCTGCCTCACGACCAGCAGTGCGTCTAATAGCATTTCGGTCACCAAGTGCTCCGGTGCACCGTCGCAGGCGTGGAAGTTCGACCCGGTCGCCAAGCGAGTCACCAACGGCAAGCTCTGTCTCGTTTCGGCGCCGTCGTCACCTGGCGCCTCGCCCACTGTCGCGGCCTGTTCGTCGTCCGCCGTCTCGCAGTACTTTGACAGCTGTGCCAGCGTCCCGAGCACCGTGCGGCTTGTGACCAAGAGAAACGCGTACTTGTACCAAGCCAACAGCGGCGTCTTTGCCGGTGCCAACAGCGACGACATCAACCGCCTCTTCGTGTACAATGCAGCGGCGCAGACGCTCCAGGCGCAAGGCAACGGGCAGTGCCTTGGAGTGTACATGTCGGGCAAGGCAACGGGCAGTGCCTTGGAGTGTACATGTCGGGCAAGACTCCGGTGCTGCAGTTGCGTGCGTGCGACGGCAGCGCCAATCTTAAGTGGTCCATCGACGCCGTCAACCGCAAGGTCAAGACATCGGGGCTCAACAACATTTGCTTGGATGTCGACCCAACGAACGCGAGTCGCGCCGCGCAGGTGTGGACTTGTTTTGCCAACAACGACAACCAAGTCATTTCCGTCGTACCCTACTAAATCGAAGAGCACGATCATGTGAATGACGTGGATACATGCACTTATTGGATTCCCTCGGCATTCGACTACGACGTCTTTGAGTTAGTTTTTGCTAATTTGATTTAACGCGAACACGTTTTGATTGATTGATTGATTGATTCGACGACTGCTCTAGTCGGCTTGCGACAGCGGATGCGCGCCCGATTCCTCGGGCATTTGATCTCAAAGAGGTACGAGGGCTCTGACGATTCATGAGGAGACCCCCTTTACAAGAATGTCCACAAACACAGACCCGACACAACTCGTTTTCAACTTTTCTACAGAAAACACTCCATTCTTCAACCAGTTACTAGGCTCGTTCCGCTTCTCAATATGTCGTGAGGTTGAAAACGCCGGACCGCAACAAGTACTGCATGTTCCAGCCGTTCGGTTGCCCCGACTCGATGTAGTCGATCTTCCAGCTCCAGTAGGTCCAGCCGGCCTTGGCGTTGTTCATCGCTTGTAGCGCGCGATTGGCATATCTCGTCATCGTCGTCCTGTTGGCCAAGTGGCCGGTGATGCCAGTAGCACTCGCAAGGCTCCACTCGCCGACGAAGACGGGCGTCGGCCGCATGCTCTGCCAGAGCGTAATGTCGTTGGCGATCCACTGCGTCCCGACGTTGAT